GAAAACTGACATCAGCTAAAATACGCTAATTTAGATATGACTTGATTTTAGCTATATAAGACTAAAATTTGATTTGTGAAATTGGCTTCAGGGAAAATAAACATGGAGGAGATAATAGTCAAAAGAAAACTCACAAGGGCACAAGCTAGAATTAGCTAAGTTAAATTAAATTTTCACCATAAAATCTCATGGAAAACAATGATCTTAATGAAAATATTTTTAATTAAAATGAAAATAGAAAATTTAGAAGCAATTGAGTTGCCCTATATAGAGAACCAATCAAAGAATTAAAGTGGCTTAATGGAGTAATAGTTTGCTCCAGAGGAAAGCTTTACTATTGAAAATCCTTCTATGTAGTATGATTCTTATTAAAAATTTAGCTCTGTGCTGCCACCTGGGCTTTAAGACTGAGCAGATTCAGGGATACTTGACTTACCTGTTGCAAACAGTGATGCTGAATCAGAGCCTGCAGCAAGCTCCAGCTGCATGCCAGCTGTTTGAGACTGAACACCTAAACATGGGACATCAAGTGACCATGTGGCTGGTGCTGCCCATCATCAACTGGGTGTTGTCTAACCCAACAAACCAACTGAGGAGTAATTAACATAGCCCAGAAACAGGTCGTGACTGTCTCTTACAGGGGTGCGATGACTTGGCTGGTTATGCTGTGACTGCCTCTCTGCCCCAAACCCACCTCTACACTCTGCTCTGAGCTGCTGGGACTGGGATACTGCAGACCACATTTCTCCCTTACCAGCTTGCTCCCTGACAGTCTGTGCCCACAGGGAATGTGAGGAGAAAGAGACTGCAAGGCAAGACTAGTAAAAGAAAGGATGCTCCTTTCAGTTTCCTTCCTGTTACCAGCGAAAGCGCAGCAACGCTGCTGCACTCGGGCAGCAGTAGCTGGTCCAGCAGCAGCACTGGTTCCTGTGCAATTCCTCCACTCTCCTCGCAGCAGCCTCACGAGCCCTTAGAGACAGCAGCACCAACGGGCCAGCCTCTCCTTCTCCACGGGCCCTCCCCCCAGTCTACACCATAATAACCCCA